AAAAATAGGGGACAACCTGACGTTCGATGAACATTTTCTGTAGTGAAAAGTTGTGTGTGGAACAAAAAGGGGGGTGATATTACGTGTCTGTATGATATATTAATTTTCCTTTCAATTTTTGCAATATTTGGACTCATTTTTCATTATTTGATAAGATTTCGTATTTTACACATTACAATAAACATGTAAAGCCGGCTATAAAAATGCACATTTGTAATAAGGGACGACAATTTTCTGAGGGCATGCATAATTGAAAAAAAACAAACTGTTTTTGGTACAATTACAATTTCACGTTAACGTGTAATTAATATCAATGAATGTCTACTCCTCCTTTATTTTATTATTGTATATAATCGTAGTAAAGATTCCCCCCCCCCCCCGCAAAAAAAAAATGACCTAAGACACAAACACACCCTCCTCGAGCCCATTCCTAGAACATATGTACTCAGTACAATACAATGCCTCAATATTAAACAAATAGTTTACTGCCAAATCTGGGCATATGGGACCAAAGTACACAACGTAAACTATTACGTATTACAATTACGCATACTACATGAAGGAGAACAATTTTTTTTGTGTGTGTTGATGACATTACAAAAATCTAAATATTTTAAAACTCATTTAAAAATTATTGAAAAAAAGTTAAACAGAAATTATAAGAAATGTTAAATGTTCAAAATGATGCATGTGTGAAGCATTTATTAAGGAAGGATCTGAATAAGGTGCCTTTAAATCGAAAGAAGGGATGAATTGCTGGTTATCAGATTAAACAGTTAAACAAAGTACCCTGTACATTGACTTCCATATATTTACATTTCCAATGTCTTTGTACGCGATAAAATTACCAATTGTAAATGTAATTTATTTCCTCATGAATGTTTTGGCGCGGTTCCAAAAAAACCCACGTGCAGGGCGGGACAACATCTAGAGAGAAGCAGGCTCGGAGCCCGTGGATTGGCGGAATCAAAGCATGTAAATATAAGGAATGACTGTCTTATTTTTCGAATTCATGAAGATGATCAATGGATTGGCTTGTGTGATAATTTTATGCATAAACGCCTTCGGCGTTTATGCAAATTATCACACAAGCCAATCCATTGATCACTTCATGAATTCGAAAAATAAGACAGTTATTCCTTAAGTGCATGTAAAGCCAAAAGTACGATGAACGTATTATTTCCAGTAAATCGAATTCATGAACCTGAATTTGTGTTATTACAAAACTGGTGAATAATTCAGAAAAAAATTAGAAATTTTATCACAAAAGTCAGTTGTTAAGAATTTTTTAATGACATTTCAGACAATGATACTATAGAGTAAAAAGAGGGATATACACCCCGCGCACAACATGTTGCATACACCCCGGACACAATATTGATTTTTCGTCAATATCTTTATATACGAACTGTTTTATTTACAGACAATTTGTACAAACGTTTATATTGCAAACATGTATTTAAGGTTTCGTCAAAGGTCAACATGTTCTAAAATTTATTTTTACAATAGCCCCAAGACTATATGAGGTAAAAAGTTTAAACTTTTACAGTTTATCAATTTTTCATTGATTAACAGACAGAAAGTATCACTTGATAAAAAAATACTTGGAAAAATAGAAATTAAGAAAAAATTCTTCTTAAAAACGCATATATTTTCAAAAAATACACCTAATTAATTCCGTGCTCTTAGTGAAATCCATCACTGCAGAAACAAAATATGTTTATCAATGAAGGGCAAGTTGGACTTAGATAGTCTCTGGGAAGTTGTTTTCCCTGTTTATTTTGTCCAAATGTTAAGACTTGAAAGTGAAAGTACATTACAAATGGCGGGTTCTAAAGGGGTCTTGTCTTTATACATGTCATGCTTTCAATAACAGCCTTTCAGAGACCATTCACGTCCAACTTGCCCTTCAATGATAAACATATATTATTTCTGCAATGATGGTTTTCACAAAAAGGACAGAATAAAGCAGGTGCATTTTTTTTAAAATATGCACATTTTCTGATACAATTTTTCTCCAAAAAAATCTTTTTAAATTATTTGTTATCAAGTGATACTTTCTGTGTATTAATCAATGATATATTTATAAACTGTAAGCATTTTGACTTTATACCAGACATAGTTTTGGAGCTATAGCAAATATATTTTTTTAGACTTGTTGACCTTTGACGAAATCTTAACAATAATATAAAAATGACGATAAAGCAAAGCTTTGTTCTAATATTCGATCATAAATACAGTGTAGCGTCAATCTTGCTCCGATCCTCGGAAATGTGTAGAGGTGTTTAATGAAACTAGAAGGTGTCCAGTGGATTCATAGGTATCCATATACTCCTTAGATAATGCTTTCTTCCGTAGGCATATGCTTTCTGGCGAAAAATATCCGTTAATTGAGAAAATGGACAAAGAACGTACATTGACCCCCTTTCTCTCGCTTCGGAAGCATACACCCCGCATGTTGGGATATATACATGGTGTTACTGCTTGTTGCGTTTCTTTTGCGTGTCAGTATACATAAAATACAGGTTCCTTAACTTTTCTCTTTCAAAAATTACAGCGAAATTTCAGTAATATTTATAGAAAAGTTGGAAAAATTTCAAGGTCAAGGGTAAAAACCTTTGTATTTGAAAGGTCTCGCCACAGGTAACCCACATCTTTAATAAGAAAGCCCCATCTCTTCAAGTCAAGGGTTCAACTCCATGTAATTAGAAAGATCTTGTATGACCATGCAAGACATTTTTTAGCGAGACAAATCAGATTTACATTGCTGTCATGTCCGATTGCTTCGTTTGCTGACCACTCATCTGGAAAATATAGGTCAGATCCAGCATACGCTGCAAGCACAACACTACGTCCCCAGATGTTGTATCCCCAATCGGAACTTCTTGGGCCTTTCCACGAGCGGAATAATAACTTCGATTGTATAATGTGGACGCCATGACAACCCCCTTTTCATCATCTTTGAAAGGAATGCATGGAAACCCTCTTATACGAGGAGCAGAAAGTTTAACTTTATTCAATGTAATGATACCTACAATCAGGCACGTAGCATCGTTTTTGAAAGTGGGGGGGCCAACCTGAGAAAATTTTTTTTTACTTACCTGAAATAGTTGACAAGCAAAAAAAAAAAAAAAAAAAAACCCCCAAAAGTTAAAAAACCTTCAATTTGGGGGGGGGGGGGGGGGGGGGGGGGGGGGGGGTGGCCAACTTTTTGAAAGCCAACTTACTATCACTTCAAATTTTTTTCCTTACAATCCTTGCTATAACTATACTATGGTTATATTTGGGGGGCCAACCATCCTATGAATGAACATTTACTATAGTAAAGGTTATGTTGGGGAAAAAAGTGGGGGGGCCAGGCCCCCCCGGATGCTACGTCCCTGACAATATACTTTAGAAGGGACTTCTAACTCTATCCATTCTATAGGCCTATTTGAATAAACATGAAGATGTATAAATTTTAACATCTAGCGATGTTAATACTGTAACCAAGAGAAATTGCTTAAGTCGGTGTCCGTTTTACAAATTTATTAAAACTCCTAAAACTTAACAAAATCTACAAGGTCGGGAGTCGGTGGTCCGAGTGGCTTGGCTGTCGCTCTCCAACTGCCAAATATTCCAACATGCCAATTAATATATAGATAAAAAGTAATATTTGAACAATAGAATTAATGAAAGAGTGAAAATACAAATTTATATCAATTAACGGATTACTTAAATAAACGTTATATCACTTTAATTGTTCAGATTAAAGTCACTCAACGCGGCATGGCAGGGGAGAAGGTGTTATGTCCTTGGGGTGCATTTCACGCGGTGATAATACAATCGAGGCGTTTTTTTCCGACCTATGACGTAAAGACCCTAGATGATGCGATTGGTTTTATCCCTTCAAGTTTTGTACAGGTACAGTATGATTTATTATTATTACTTGGGAATGGACTTGCTAAAAAAAAAAATTATGTCATATTAGACATAAAGAAGATGGGCGGATAAGGCGGGCAGAATGCCTATAGCATCAGATATTAAGAAATCACATTTGATATGTAAATTGAGTATATAAATTTACATTTCATTATTGAAATTTATGAAATTATGAGAAAAAAAACATTTTCCGAGAAAAAAACATTTTCTGAGAAAAAAAAATCTCTTTAAAAATTTCATTCATAAAAATATCCCATGGTGTTCCTGGGATTCGAACCCCGGCAATAAAATACCGAAGTATCAGACTGCTTTGAGACTGACGCGCTAACCACTATGCTACATGTCTCTTGTGAATCAGTGGCATTTAAATCATGTTTGTGATATGACCATTGACTTCATGGACTTGAAGTATTTCTCGGAAAGATGTGAATGTTTTGTCATAAAAGTGTATTTTTAAGGTATGGTGGGTCTTCCCTACATTTTTTTGTAAACCAATAAATATATATAAATTATCGCAAACCTTTAGGATTATCTCTCAAAAAAATGGAGCGAAGACCCACTCACATTGAAAAAAATTTTTAAAGTATGAAAAAATGATCGTTTTTGTTCTTTTAAGCCAGTGTATGCTTTTTCATGTGCAAATATTTTCAGTTTCTGTGAGATTTTCGTAAATAATAGAGATTTTACATTAAGTATACTTTAATATTAGACGAGATATGACATAAAATTTGGATATAATTGAGATTAAATTTTTCCCCTTCTTATCTGTCGCGCTATAGGCATTCTGCCCCCCTTGTACGCCCATCAACTTCAATAATGTTAATATAAATGATTCTTTGGCCCACAAGTGTTTGGTTTTTATAATAACTAACACACAGCAAGAACTTAACTTTTTATTGAAGAACAATAAAAAAAATATATCCGTCAAACATTGCACATCTGATTCGCCCTATGAAAAATGACACATGAATTAATGCCAATGATTTTTTTTGATGTGTTAGCTATTTACTTTACACCTTGCATGTTTTTTTCTCCATTCAAAAAGCAAAAATTGGACATTTGGAACAAAACTTACGACTTGCATAAAATCAAAGCTTAAAAATTATTATCTATTCCTACTAACGGTAACATGCTACTGTCCATATGGGCAAGCACCAAAACATCATAACATGTATGATAACAGTGGTTAAATCTCTCCTGCATAAGCAAGTAATACAAAATGTACTACATATACATGGCATCTACTTCTACATAGGAAAACTAAAATTTATGAACACACAATGGTACATGTAATATATTTGAGGTATGTTTTGATTTCAGAAATTTATCTTCTTAATCAATATCCAGTCTTCTTTTCCTTGGAAGAAGACGTTTTTTATCCTCCCATCCTCGTCTGTCTATCTTCTTCCATCAGAATTGTACTTTACTGTTCTTCACTCTATATCACTTTTGTCTACTCTACTTTGATCACTTAAGCCTCTGTTTACAACTTTTGATCGTAACAGACAACAACAGTTCTAATCGCTCCATCCTTGATTCGTTATCTTCCATTAGATCAATTCACCAATTGATCATGTGCCTAACTTACGAGCTTACAGGAAGTACAGACGATCTGACAGTGACATATGAGGGTCCTTGTGAATAGACTGTCCCACCAAGAAAGCCAGCTTGTGGGCGTACTGACACGGCGCTGGTACACGGATGGTCCCCTATCACAAAAATTATCACATCATTATTATAAATTTTGAAAGAACTTTATTCAGTAATAACCAATATTAGCCCCCGAAATCAAACTTTGATGGAGATATATTTAATTAAGTTTTTAAACAGGGGAGTATATGCTGACTTCAAAGCACTGAATATTTTCATAAGTAATGACGCCATATGTACGCAATGACGTCACAAACATGACGTAAATTTCAGTTTTTTATGAATTTTACAGAAATATGTACATATTTTGTCGATATTTTGAGTAAAAGTGACCGAGCGCATGTGTGTTCAGGATCAATATTTTGATATAATGTGTAGAATGATAATATCAATGTAATATATCAATATTGTTCCTGAACAAACTTGCGCTCTATAAATTTTAAAGCTAAAATTGTTGAAATTTTGTCCATTTTGTCCTCTTTCTGAAAAAGGATATAAAATCGGACTAGTTTGTGACGTCATAAAAACAAAATTTGTGAATACACTGCTTTGACACTATATTAATATTTTCTGTTAATTTATATTTCTTACACAATTTATTGAATTCAGCATATTTCAGGAAGTTTTCAAAATTTGACTTTTGTGGGGGCAAATATATGCAATTTACTGCACATAGTTCTTTACAAAAATTATTCACAACAGTAAATGAAAGTTTAATTTTATATAGAGGTGCAAGTACTACAATGTACAAAGAATGACTAAACAGAGAGTCTCTGAAATTTTTTTTATAGGACTTACTGGCCAATTATAATATAAGTGGGTCATCTTATAAGCTAGACGTTGCATATGGTCCGGCTTGAGGCCCGTTGAATCCCAGATCACGTTGTAGTGGGTGGGGGTCACTGTACCCTGTCTTACTGACTGAGACACCAGGAAGAAGTCATACCTAAAACACAAAGAGTACCATTACTATCCCCATCTTCATCAATCTACACAGCTTGTTCCGAACACACCTGTCCATTACAATTAACCAAATTTAATTTATCTTCTGTACTTGCTTTGGAATGGAAAATCCATTCCTCAATGATCATAACTCAGTGACCCTGACCAAAGTCTTGCAAAGCATGCAACTTGAAGCCAAGGACTGTATTTTAAAATGATTTTACTCTTACTTGTACAATTGAAGGTGCTTTTCAAATATGCTCTCTACATCAAAACTCTAGTAATCAACTTAGCTCTCTATTAGTGAACTTAAACTCTGGATTTTTTTTGGTGGCCTTTTGTCTACTGCAATTTTCGTGTGTATTTCATTACTACTGAAATCTTAAGCTCACTTCATTGATCTTATTCTCTTTTCTTTCAATGTTTTGAAGTTGTAATATTTTAAATTAACAATGGCAACTTCCTATGCTTAATTAGTACTGACCAGATGGGTTTGGTGACCTGGGTGTCCACAATAGTTCCTGGTGGAGGATTGGTCAGAGATGGACCAGACTTGGCAAAGAACCTTGTGTTGATTCTCTTCTTTACAACCACCACTGCTACCTTGGGACTACAAAATCAAATTAAATGTATATATCACGTATTACCACAAATTCCGAGTTTAATGAGTCATTAATTTTAACATTTGGTTGACAACTGTATCATTTTATTCATTATTGAAAACTTAAGGTTCCTTTTATCTGTAGAAGTAAACAAGCAAAGGGTGAATCAGCATCTGGCTCCTTCTTAAAACACAACAAAGCATTACAGAGCTGAATTAAATTTAATACAGAGGTAGACCCTATAGCAGTTGACACAGTTCTTACTTGTAATCTTGTCCACCACTTCTCTTGAAGCACTCGTTTAGCTGTGGTACCTCGTGTTCATACACCGCCCTCAGCTGCCCGTCACCCACGCCATCACGGAATACGATGATCCTCTCAGGCAGGGCACCATTCACCTCGTGATATTTCTCCAATGCCCCTAAAATTTATAACACACTGATTAAATCTCAAGAATGCAATTTAATACACTTAAAATCATTTTTTTTAAAAACTATTTTATACTTTTAAGTAAATCAGTTTTGTCTAATTAAGATTTTTTTTTTCAAAAAATAAAACCCAATATCATCTAAATAATGGAATACTTTCAATGTTACTCTCATCTGCATGCATTATTGATTATTCAGGAATTTTTTTTTCATGTCAATATTTTAGCTCAATGTGAAACTTATCATTACACAAAGACAAATTTGTTCAGAAAAAAGTTGAATATAATTTAAAATGGCATGTATTCCACTTCCTAAACCATAATTACTTACCAACCTTATTGGATATTTACAACACTGCCAGGACTTTCCAACCTACATATAATTAACTTGATTACTTCTGAACTTACCTCTGAGTGATGTGACTAATCCATTGATTAGCTCCTCTCCAGTATGTTGGAATGTTGTACGTGAATAATAGCGAGTAAGAGTTTTGTTTAAGGAGCAGATCACACCCCCTACAGATCGGCCTTTCTTAGCTGAATCGTGATAAGTATCGACACCTACCACCATCAGATTTTTCAACTGGAACAAAGGAGAACTTTGGTTAGTAAATAAACAATGGTCTATTTGGACCATAAAAATGATAATTCTGTTGTCTTTCTGGACAGCATGAAACTTATAATAAAGATTCAATATAATTCAGTTGTCTTCCTGGACAACATAAAAACTTGCATAAAATAAATGTTCAATCTAATCTATCCAACAAAGCATGTTTTTGCTAAATATCTGCTCTTTTGGTAGGCAACATTTACCAACTGCCCTTCTTTAACATATAGTATTTTCCTTTTTTTAAACTTGAGAATCCTTAAATACTAATACACAAGTTACTTATCCATGCTTTGTTGGACAAGCTAACTTATAATTCAAACTGAACAGATTCAAGGAGCAAAATCATGTCTGCTGCCTTTTTTCTGAAAAAAGTAGAAATTCAATGGCTACCTTGCCAATCTCGTACAACAATACACAGGGCAAATCTTAAACAGCAATATAATGTCATGTACTTTGTCATGCATTTGAATTGTAACAAGTACATTTTAACAATTTTTGTTTTGTGTGTTTTTTCTTTTTAATATTTGATTTGTAGCCAGTATTGTTGCACTCCAGATTTGTCAGACTCCAGATCTTGGAGATAAAAAATTAATAACCACAATGTAAACAACAAAGAACAAGGCCTAGAAAAAAATATGTTTGTTTCCGCTTTCCCGACCGACCCTAATTTATAGTGCCGACCCTAAATATTTTTGTAATGCTTTTGTCCCATGATGTGCAAGATTTCATCCAGCGAATTATAGTCTCCAACTTTGCAAGCTTTTCAAGACCGAAAGAATTTGGGTCACCTTTCTATTGCAAGTTTAAGTCACAGAAATGCTAGAAAACACCACTTCTTTTGTCATTAATGTCAATTCTATACATGTTTTGATTTTTTGATTAAAGAAGCAAAACAAATTTAAAAAAAAAAAAAAAAAAAAAAAAATGCCTACCTACCGACGCTATATTTTTTCAGCCTGAAAGCGGAAACATATTTTTTTTTCTAGGCCTAAACAGTACACTTATAACCGGGTGCACCGACATTGAAACAAAGATAGAGAACATACACAAGACACGGACATCATCTGAGAAAGTCCACAGACAGGTTCAACAGTGTACACAAACATGCTGTTAGAAGCAACAACTTGAGGATTAGTAGTTAGTGGATTCACATTTTATGACAAATCTCCAAGAACAACCTTGACAGCAGGCATCTCGGAATCTATTCTTGTGGAATTTACTTACCTTTCACCTCTCAAACAAGTACGCATTGAAAACTAACCAAAGTGCCAATTCTTAGAAATGATAATTGATCATCAGTTAAAAGGAAGTTCAAACCTTTCATGCACACTTTCAAACCATCCAAAAGCTCTTGCATGGAATGTTGAAAGGTGCAGCGAGAGTAGTATCGAGTTAGAGCTTGATTCATGGAAGCAATCACTCCCCCAACGGAGCGGCCTTTCTTACTAGAATCATGGTAAGAATCTATCCCAACCACCATAAGGTTCTTGAGCTACAGTGACAATCACAAATGTAGTATAAAAGTTCTTCAAAAAAAAAAGCCATAAAGCACATCACATGAAACAGAAAGCACTATAATATACATGTACAATATTATGTGTACAAAGAATTATAAAGTAAACATTATATACAGACAAACATATTGTTAAATTCTACAACATGCACCACTCTACACTCTAGCTGATGAAGCGTTTCATTTTACTTACAGGAATTTCCAGACACCATACTTCTCCTCCTAGCTTACAATTCAATTGAATGGCAATTTTGGTTGCCACAGACATCAACATCTGTTTTTTCGAGAGAGTTCTCTGTACAACACACTGACTTGGTACTGAAAAATAAAATTGCTACTGTGCATTCAACATCATTGCTTCCCCTTTTGAGAGGTCTTACCTATTTGTTATACTTAAAACTTCTAATTTTTTAAGAAATACAGTGCATATAAATCATCAACAAAGCATTTACAATGCCATCCCAGAATTTTTTCTAAAGTTGAGCAAGTATCAGAAATTCAAATTAATAAATAAGTGCATATTCTTGAAATAATGAACAAAGAAGAAAATCTTTTCACAACATATCTTCATCAGGGATGGGGTAATTGAATAAAGTAATTGTAATTGAGTGTAATTAATTACATTTTTCTAAGTAATTGGAAGTAATTTGTATTTGAGCAAGCCCTCAATTACAAGTAATTGAATGTATTTAAATACATTTCAAAAAAGGTCATGTATTTTCAATCGGTGCCGGACAACTCACCGACAGACAGCTGACCGACAAAAGTGAAAGTCACCGACGCGTGCAAATTCACCGAATGGACAATTCACCGACAATATTGTCGGTGAGTAGAAATTCACCGACAATGGTTTTTACCTGTATGCTGAAGTGGTAAGTGTTAAGTGTTCAGATAATTAAAGTTATATAAAAACCAATGTTTTCTGTGTTATTTTTTATTCACCATGGCAAGCCCAGGGTCTCCTGACCATAATGAAAGACCAAAATACGAATTTGTAAAATCTCAGCGTGGGAACAATAAACTTGTATTTTCGGGTTACATCTATAAACTCGATAAAAAACTGGAATCAAAATCGTACTGGGTATGCCATATCCCATCTTGTAAAGGAAGATCGATCTTGGACAAAGAGGAAGTTAGAGAAACCAGGTCACACGATCATGCACCAGACTCTTCTGCTGTGGAGGTAAATTTATTCTAAATATGGCTTACACATGTCAGGTACACGTGATATATATTTTAAAAATAACTAATTTGATAAAGTAAATGAACTTAAATAAATTAACATTTTAGGAACATAAAGCTATTACCAGACTTAAACAAGCAGCAACAGGTCATGCTAAAACTTCTGCTATATAGAGAATCTTAAATCAAGACCCACGAACTAACAATTTCTTAGAGGGTTGGCACAGACGATTCGCCAGTATTGTTGGCGTAGCACATCCCGATATATTCAAATTCATTGCGTCACTCAAATCGGAACAAGCACGGACTGAAATGGTGAAAAGGTCGGTTATTATGGGTGAAGTTTGCGATTTGATGAAAAAACAAGAGGCCCAAGGGCCTTGAATCGCTCTTCTGATAAATTGTACAATCTATCACTTCTATTTGAAGCCTCTAACCCTGAGTATCCTAAGACCCAAGTTGCATCAACTGAAAAAGTTTGATGATTCTTAGCCAATTAGGACTGAAAATATTTAATAATAAAGCTATAAAAATCCATAAGTACATTACAGTGACCTATATTAAGATTGAAGTTTTCTGAAGACTCAAGATGCATTAATAAACAAAAGATTGAAGATTCTAAGCCAATAAGTATTTGAGAATTTTAAAAGTAGGTCACCATGACCAACTTTTTTGTCTACATTCTATGAAAACCCAAGATACATCAACTAACAAAGTTTGATGATTCTAAGCCAACAAGTCCTTGAGATATTCAAAAGTAGGTCATCATGACCTACTTTTTGGTCACGATCTTTAAAAACCAAAGATGCATCAACAAACAAAGTTAAACCAGTTAGTACCGTAGATATTTAAATAAAGCCTTAAATGTCAAAAATTAGGTCACCCTGACCTACTTTTTAAACATCATTCTCCGAAAACCCAAGATGCATCAAACTTACAAAGTTTGATGATTCTAAGCCAATAAGTACCGTAGAAGTTTTTTTCGTTTACTTAATACTTAAGATACATAAATAAAGCCATAGAAAGTTTAAAGTAGGTCACTGTGACCTACTTATTGGTCGTCACTCTCAGAAAACCTAAGACACATCAACTCACAAAGTTTGATGATTCTAAGCCAATAAATATTAAAGATATTTAAACAAAGCCATAAAATGTCGAAAGTAGGTCACAGTGACCTACTTTTTGGACATCATTCTCGGAAAATCCAAGATTCATCAACTTACAAAGTTTGATGATTCTAAGCCAATTAAAGTACCGTAGATACTTAATTAAAGCAATAAAATGTCAAAAGTAGGTCACAGTGACCTACTTTTTGGTAGTCACTCTCCGAAAACCCAAGACGCATCAACTCACAAAGTTTGATAATTCTAAGCCAATAAATACCTAAGATACTAAAATATAGCCTTAAAATGTCGAAAGTAGGTCACAGAGACCTACTTTTTGGACATCATTCTCCGAAAACCCAAGATTCATCAACTTACAAAGTTTGATGATTCTAAGCCAAAAAATACCTAAGATACTAAAACATAGCCATAAAATGTTGAAACTAGGTTACCGTGACCTTTATTTTGGTCGACATTTTTTAAAGTCACAAGATGCATCTGCTGACCAAATTTGATGATCCTAGGTCTGAAGGTAATCAAAATATGCCTTTTAAACAATTCATAAACAAATGCCTGCAAAATTCAAAAAGTAGGTCACAGTGACCTACTTTTTCATAAATATGTTTAAAGGTCCCAAGATGCATCAATTTACAAGGTTTGATGATTCTAAACCTCTCAGTGTCCGAAATAATTGGATTAAATGTTTTAAAAAGAATTAGTCATGAAGTTTAAAAAGTAGGTCACGGTGACCTACTTCAAAGCTGACATTGTTCCAGGACCCAAGATGCATCAATTGACAAAGTTTGATGATCATAGGCCTTAAAGTGCCCGAAATATGCCTTCAAATCAATTTGAAAACAAATGCTTACAAAATCTAAAAAGTAGGTCACCATGACCTACTTTTTCATAAATATGTTTTCAGGTCCCAAGATGCATCAATTTACAAGATTTGATGATTCTAAACCTCTCAGTGTCTGAAATAATTGGATTAAATGTTTTAAAAAGAATTAGTCATAAAGTTCAAAAAGTAGGTCACAGTGACCTACTTTTAAGCTGACGTTGTTCAAGGACCCAAGATGCATCAATTGACAAAATTTGATGATCATAAGCCTTAAAGTGCCTGAAATATGCCTTGAAATCAATTTGAAAACAAATGCTTACAAAATTTGAAAAGTAGGTCACCGTGACCTACTTTTGAGTTAACATGATGTGATGTCCTGAGATGCATCAACTTACAAGATATGATGATCCTAGTCATAATAGTAAGCAAAATATAAACATTTTTATTATTTGTAAATTTAGGTCAACTTTGAAGTGACCTTGAGACCACGCCCTTTGCCCCAGGGTCATGCCTTGAACAATTTTTAATCTTCAACATATCCTGATCCTTGTATGTAAGTTTGGTGAAAATCTGCCCGGTGGTTCTGGAGAAGAAGATTTTTTAGCAACCAGTACTTTTGGTTTTGTTTTCTTGATTATCTCCCCTTGTTTAAGGGTCCCAACCCTTATTTTAGTATGTAAGGTAGCCCTTAGGCCAAGGATACTTTGTGACAAATTTGACACTGATTGGCCAAGGGGTTCTTGAGTTATGGCCCATATTCTAAAAAGTTAACGCACACCGCACAAATGGCCATAGCATTAGCTCTTTGAGCCTTTGGCTCAGAAGAGCTAAAAAGATGCAAAAAGGAATGCCAGAATTTTGACTGTAGTAAAGGATTGTGTTGACAGGACAAAGGATTCCTTTCTTCCATACTTAGAGGGGTTGGCCCATAACTTCAATTATCAAATTTAATATGTTAAAAAAAAATGAATAAAGAAACGTACATTCACATACATTTTTTCTTAATTTTATCAATGATGTCGGTGAGTGTCAGTGTATTATATTCTGTCCATGACTTGTCTGTCGGTGACCTGTCTTTCGATGAGTTGTCGTATCGGCGACTTTTATAGTGTCGGTGAAAAAATGTCTGCGAGTTGTCGTTCGGTGAGTTGTCTGTCAGTCACCTGTCATAGACCCATTTTCAATTACTTTTCAATTACATTTCAATTACTTTTTCAAAATGAAAAGTTTATATTTAAAAATGTGTCTTATACTGATACATAGTTTTATACTGGTGGGTTTATATTACTTATTCCCAGGTTTTATAAATCTCAGTTCTCCCTATTCCTACTTGGAAATAACAATGATTGTTTAGATAGTTAATTTGTTTTACAGCAATTAGACTAACTACATCCCCTTTAAGATTTACCTGTATTCTATTCATTTTAAGATAGAAAATAATGAATAGAATTGTGATACCTTCAAAAATATGGATTTCAGAAAGTAACAAAAAAGATCTTGCCATACACCATAATGGTGTAGCATGGGCTTGTGTTTGTACAATAATTAATTTCTCATAATGTTTAATTTGTTTATACAGTGTGTCACACTCATTATAAGGTCTAATTTTGACCAGGTGTGAACCCCCTATCTTATCCAAGAACCAGAAGTCTCTGTCGAGACTGTAGCTCTACTGGTTTGTACTTATCAAAAACCATTGCACTATTTTATGTATCTTTGTGTAGTCTACTTGTGTGCCAACTTATTTTGAAATCAGACAAAAACTGTAGAAGGAGTAGCGTTTTTAAAGAATTCCACAGAAAATTCTATTTTGAGTAACCATAGCAATACCGTTCATCGAAATCAAAAACCGATGCACTATTCTATGTATTTTAGTGTAGTTTACTTGTGTGCCAAGTTATACTGAAATCAGACAAAAACTGTAGAAGGAGTAGCGTTTTTAAGGAATTTTACAGAAAATTCTATTTTTAGTAACCATGGCAACACCGTTTATCGAAATCAAAAACCAATGCACTATTCTATGTATCTTAGTATAGTCTACTTGTCTGCCAAGTTATATTGAAATCAGACAACAAGAGGCCCATGGGCCACATCGCTCACCTGAGAAGCTTTGACCATTCTGTTCTTTACCCAGATTTCAACCTTGTTATACATAATGCATCCCCATCCTACCCCACTGATCATAATTTAGACATTTTGAAATCTACACTACCCCTTGATTTGGCCCAGTGGTTCCCGAGAAGAAGATTTTTAAAGATTTTTCCTATATATTTCTATGTAAAACTTTGATTCCCTATAATGTCCCCACCCTTCCCCCAGGGGTCATGATTCCTGCAATTTAGAATTTACACTACCCCAGAATGCTTCCACATAAGCTTCACTTTTTCTGGCCCAGTGGTTCTTGAGAAGAAGATTTTCAAAGATTTTTCCTATATATTTCTATATAAAACTTTGATTCCCCATTGTGGCCCCACCCATCCCCCGGGGGTCATTATTTGAACAATTTAGAATCTACACTATACCAGGATGCTTCCACATAAGTTTCAGCTTTTCTGGCCCAGTGGTTCTTGAGAAGAAGATTTTCAAAGATTTTTCCTATATATTTCTATGTAAAACTTTGATTCCCCATTGTTGCCCCGCCCTTTCCCTGGGGGTCATGATTTGAACAATTTAGAATCTACACTATAACAGGATGCTTCCACATAAGTTTCAGCTTTTCTGGCCAAGTGGTTCTTGAGAAGAAGATTTTCAAAGATTTTTCCTATATATTTCTATGTAAAAATTTGATACCCCATTGTGGCCCCGCCCTTTCCCTGGGGGTCATGATTTGAACAATTTAGAATCTACACTATACCAGGATGCTTCCACATAAGTTTCAGCTTTTCTGGCCCAGTGATTCTTGAGAAGAAGATTTTCAAGGATTTTTCCTATATATTTCTATAAAAAACTTTGATTCCCCATTGTGGCCCCGCCCTTTCCCTGGGGGTCATGATTTGAACAATTTAGAATCTACACTATACCAGGATGCTTCCACATGAGTTTCAGCTTTTCTGGCCCAGTGGTTCTTGAGAAGAAGATTTTCAAAGATTTTTCCTATATATTTCTATGTAAAACTTTGATTCCCCATTGTGGCCCCGCCCTTCCCCCGGGGGTCATGATTTGAACAATTTAGAATCTACACTATACCAGGATGCTTCCATATAAGTTTCAGCTTTTCTGGCCCAGTGGTTCTTGAGAAGAAGATTTTTTAATGACCCCACCCTATTTTTGTCTTTTCTTGATTATCTCCCCTTGCGAGGGGATATGTCCCTTCATTTTAACAATTTAAATTCCCCTTTACCCAAGGATGCTTTGTACCAAGTTTGGTCAAAATTGGCCCAGTGGTTCTTGAGAAGAAGTCGAGAATGTGAAAAGTTTACAGACGGACGGACAGACAGACAGACGGACGGACGGACGACGGACAAAATGTGATCAGAAAAGCTCACTTGAGCCTTCGGCTCAGGTGAGCTAAAAACTGTAGAAGGAGTAGCGTTTTTAAGGAATTTCAAAGAAAATTCTATTTTAGTAACCATGGCAATACCGTTCATCGAAATCAAAAACCGATGCACTATTCTATGTATCTTAGTGTAGTCTACTTGTGTACCAAGTTATATTGAAATCAGACAAAAAGTGTAGAAGGAGTAGCGTTTTTAAGGAATTTTACAGAAAATTCTATTTTTAGTAACCATGGCAACACCGTTCATCGAAATCAAAAACCAATGCACTATTCTTTGTATCTTAGTGTAGTCTACTTGTGTGCCAAGTTATACTGAAATCAGACAAAAACTGTAGAAGGAGTAGCGTTTTAAAGGAATTTCACAGAAAATTCTATTTTTAGTAACCATGGCAACACCGTTCATCAAAATCAAAAATCAATGCACTATTCTATGTATCTTAGTGTAGTCTACTTGTGTGCCAAGTTATATTGTAATCAGACCAAAACTGTAGAAGGAGTAGCGTTTTTAAGGAATTTCACAGAAAATTCTATTTTTAGTAACCATGGCAACACTGTTCATCGAAATCAAAAACCAATGCACTATTCTATGTATCTTAGTGTAGTCTACTTGTGTGCCAAGTTATACTGAAATCAAACTAAAATTGTAGGAGGAGTAGCGTTTTGAAAAATTGTTTACAGACGGACAGACAGACAGACGGACGGACGCATTACTATCGCATAAGCTCTTCTGGTCTCTGACCAGTAGAGCTAACAACCAGAAGTCTCTGTCGAGACTGTAGCTCTACTGGTTTGTACTTATCAAAAACCATTGCACTATTTTATGTATCTTTATGTAGTCTACTTGTGTGCCAACTTATTTTGAAATCAGACAAAAACTGTAGAAGGAGTAGCGTTTTTAAAGAATTCCACAGAAATTTCTATTTTGAATAACCATAGCAATACCTTTCATGGAAATCAAAAACCGATGCACTATTCTATGTATCTTAGTGTAGTCTACTTGTGTGCCAAGATATTTTGAAATCAGACCAAAACTGTAGAAGGAATAGCGTGTTAAAGGAATTTCACAGAAAATTCTATTTTTAGTAACCATGGCAACACCGTTTATCAAAATCAAAAACTGATGCACTATTCTATGTATCTTAGTGTAGTCTACTTGTCTGCCAAGTTATATTGAAATCAGACAAAAACTGTAGAAGGAGTAGCGTTTTAAGGAATTTCACAAAAAATTCTATTTTTAGTAACCATGGCAACACCGTTTATCGAAATCAAAAACCAATGCACTATTCTATGTATCTTAGTGTAGTCTACTTGACTGCCAAGTTATATTGAAATCAGACAAAAACTGTAGAAGGAGTAGCGTTTTTAAGGAATTTCACAGAAAATTCTATTTTTAGTAACCATGGCAACACTGTTCATAGAAATCAAAAACCGATGCACTTTTCTATGTATCTAAGTGTAGTCTACTTGTGTACCAAGTTATACTGAAATCAGACAAAAACTGTAGAAGGAGTAGCGTTTTAAAGGAATTTTACAGAAAATTCTATTTTTAGTAACCATGGCAACACCGTTCATCAAAATCAAAAACTGATGCACTATTCTATGTATCTTAGTGTAGTCTTCTTGTGTGCCAAGTTATATTGAAATCAGACCAAAACTGTAGAAGGAGTAGCGTTTTAAAGGAATTTCACAGAAAATTCTATTTTTAGTAACCATGGCAACACCGTTCATCGAAATCAAAAATTAATGCACTATTCTATGTATCTTAGTGTAGTCTACTTGTGTGCCAAGTTATATTGAAATCAAACCAAAACTGTAGGAGTAGCGTTTTTAAGGAATTTCACAGAAAATTCTATTTTTAGTAACCATGGCAACACCATTCATCGAAATCAAAAACCGATGCACTATTCTATGTATCTTAGTGTAGTCTACTTGTGTGCCAAGTTATACTGAAATCAAACTAAAATTGTAGGAGGAGTAGCGTTTTGAAAAATTGTTTACAGACGGACAGACAGACAGACGGACGGACGCCGGACGCATTACTATCGCATAAGCTCTTCTGGTCTCTGACCAGTAGAGCTAAAAACACTGAATGAAAGTTCGAATTCGATCGCTATAGAAAAAAAATCTTATTTAAAAAAAAATCTTTATTTTTTTTTATAAAAATAAAACTGGAAGTAATTGAAATGTATTTAATTACATTTGTTAAAGTAATTGAAAGTAATTAATTACATTTGAAAAAATCAATGTAATTGTAATTGCAAGTAATTGACAAAATTATCAATGTATTTGAAAGTAATTAATTACATTTCAAAGTAATTGACCCCAAGCCTGATCTTCATAGAAGAGCATTGGAGAATCACAACATACCTGGATGGTCAACACAGCAAAATTTCTTAATGGCGTCGTACCGATCCTTACGATTTGTAGGCAAAATGGTCAAGGCCAACTGGGTTTGTGGTGTTACGTATTGCTTCAAAGCAGTGAGATAGCTGTCATTCCTATCATCTGGCAACTCACAACTGAAAATGTCAACAACACTCCTCAAGCAAAAAATACATCCAATCTTTTTACTCCGTTTCTTTCTTAAACTGTTAAAATTTGATATTAAATACATTTGGTGCAGAAAATTCTCTCTCCTCCCTTTGCTGTACAAGAAGTATTCTAACTTCCTTCCAAATTAGAACTTACATTGTGGGAGAGTTGATTTGCATTCCCATGGGAGGGCCGACTCGGCTGAGGGTCTGGACCAGGTCCTGGGCCTGGGGACTGTTTCTCCTGGTGAAAACAATTACCCAGTTTTCCAGATTCACTGGGGTGATCAACTTCTTCCCTCTCATGTCTCTGCTCCAGTCTGCGTCTTCCTGTCTGTAACTCAACTAAACAAACAATATACATTATTCTTTTTGTCTATAACCCAACTACAACAAACAAAATATTTATCATTCAAATTTAATTGTACTCCACTTAGGCCAAAGTTATTTTATCTTTAGGTTTACGGATTTTTTCAACCAAAATGTCCATTGGGTGGCAACAAAATAAAAATAAAAATAATTTGAAACTTATATATGAATAACATTCAAGTTAAAAAAAAAACGTACATAGTCTTTGTGTGCAATTTCAACAATTTTTGTTCAGTTTCTATATTAATTCCTTACTTTTGAATTGGAAGAAAAATATTACCAATGGGAAAAAATAGCGAAGTTATGTCATTGAAACAGCTGATATTTGGTGGTTATTTTTATTTCCATAAAAATCATACAAGATTACGTTTTTAATAGGACTCTTTGGGGAAAAGAAATATTGCATCTCCCATAGTTTGCTCTTCTTTCATTCTCTGTGAAAAGTTTCTGGACATCGTGTTATCTCCAAGACATTTTAACTGCACTTTAAAATATAGACATGCTTGCCGCCATGTTTATACGTTTCTGTTTATAGTCACTGAAACGTTTTAAAGAATGAGACGTTTTATTACATGTTTGGGACTCAGACGCATTATAAATATTAAAACCCTGATGATCAGGCATGATTTTTCCGGAAAATTATCGAAAGTGGTGATAAAATCCATTATTTTTATTTTCTAGACCCTGAAAAAATCGGGTCGGCGGATCCGTAAACCGAAAGATATAAAAACTGTGGCCTTATAAGGATTACTTTTAATTTTGTTTGTAAACAAAAAAGATCAAATCTGAAAAATTACCTCTGCCCCTCCTTTCTGATAGATTTTCTCCTGGGGAGCAATGTGAGCATTCACGTTCAGCAGATTCTGAGAAAACCTTAGTCCCCATCCTCCCATCTCTGCTCGCACTTTCTCATTCCTGTCAGAGCAAATAACATTTAGGTTTGAAGGGCAATTAACAAAGTATAAACCAGAATACTAGTCCATCAAGAGTCAACTTCTAAAGACACACCTATACAACCAGTTTTTTAAAACCAAAATATTATGAATTAAAACCAGAGGCCCATGGGCCACATCGCTCACCAGCACACTATGGCTAGGAAAAAGCAGAATTGGTTTATACTTGAAAAGCTTAAATCCAAAACTAGTCCAAGACCAATCATGGCTTTGCTATTCTTGAGAAGATTTTTAAAGAATTTTCCTATACATTTCTATGTAAAACTTTGGTCGGCCATTTTGCCCCCCCCCCCCACCGCTGTGGGTCATGATTTGAACAAACTTGAATCTACACTACCTGAGGATGCTTCCATATAAATATGATCAATTATGGCTTTGTTGTTCTTGAGGAGGAGATTTTTAAAGAAATTTCCTATATATTTCTATGTAAAACTTTGGTCGGCCATTTTGGCCCCACCCTACCCCCTGGGGTCATGATTTGAACAAACTTGAATCTACACTACCTGAGGATGTTTCCCTATAAGTTTCATCTTTCCTGGGACAGTGGTTCTTGAGGAGAAGATTTTTAAAACATGCCACTAAATTTTCATTAAGGTTTTCAATCCCTAATGGTACCAAATTCTCTTCCCTTAAATATCTGTCAAGTACACAATACTCTGATATTATATTAAAGCATTTTATAGTGGAAAAGGATTGCCCACGAGAAATTTTCAAAAAGTTCATTAATTAACCAGTAGTTAATTAACAAAGATTGCATTGAAGTCTATGGGGAAAAGCGTTTTTTCAAAATAAAAATTCAAATAATTTGAATATCAATAAATCCTATGGTGGAAAGATGCATTGAAATATTATAAATAGATTGATAATTGAAAACAATTTTTTTACCAGCTAACTTTTTTTAAATGATTTTTTTTTTATTAATTAAAAAAAGGGGAGATAACTCTTACCAAAATTCAAGGTCATGAATTAGGACACATCCACTAAACACACTTATAGTAATAAATTGGAAGTATGTCTGAATAAACTGAGTATTCAATGCGTACATATCTGTTATGTCTTCAATTTCATTGAATTTCTTCCTATTAGGGATTGAAGACCTTAATTCCCAATTATCTCCCCTTGAATGAGGGCGTGGCCCTTCATTTGAACAAACCTGAATCCCGTTCACCCAAGGATACTTTGTGGCAAGTTTGGTTGAAATTGGCCCAGAGGTTCTTGAGAAGAAGTCGAAAATGTGAAAAGTTTACAGACAGACGGACGCCGGACAAAATATGATCAGAAAAGCTCACTTGAGCCTTCGGCTCAGGTGAGCTAAAAATCTTGTCAAACTTTGACAATTAGCAAGATAAATTACCATTAGGAAACATTTTCTAAGAAAATGATGTTGTTTGTCACATTTCAGTAGTTATTATTACTAACTTGTTGATTTGGTCAATAAAGCCTTGTAATGTTTTATTTCTTCCCTCTGGAGCAACTCTGGTGTGAGCACCTACATCTTTCATGACATTAAAGTCAGCCCTGGCCTCGTCAGTCAGTCCTGAAATGAAAACCTATCAACTTCAGTCACTTCTACAAATACCTTTGAACTGTGTTCACTGATACCGATTGGTAACTACTGCATTACCTGTAAGAGTACAGAGTTCTGGTAGAAGGAAGATGGGTTCTGTACGTCCCATTCTGATGTCCTTTTTCTTGGGTCTTGATACCACCAGAGGCTGGTTCATGTCCCTAACTTCTATGTTGTAGTTCTACAATACACATGTCAGGAAATCAAGCGCCAGATCTTGAAAATCAAACTAGACTTCACATTAACTTCTTTGTAGTGTTCTATTCATATGATACATGTATGCAAGTACAGCCAAAAAGTAAACTTACCTTCTTGTAATATTCAGCTAAAGTAATGGAGACATCATTCCTCAGCTTGAAGGCAAAATCTGGCCTCTTGTCCCAGTCAAAGTCATCTACACGGTAGGTCTTATTGTTATACCTGTAAGTCAGATCATTAATCTAATGACTGGAGACCATACCCAGAATGTTAAATACTGAAAGAATTTCACTTTGTGGATATCGGGGATAAATGAAGATTTGTTCCTCCTTTAAAACGTAATTGTACTTTTGGGAATTAAAATGTACCACTGTTTATTGAGTTTCTGCTTTTAATTGATAAATTTAA